TTTCTTAGCTGGTGAGAACATTAGAAGAGTCTGGAAAATTGTCAATCTCTTCTCCCTTCCCGTGGGAAGGGCAGGGAACCCAGCCTGTGTTTTCTCAGTGAAAAGGGGAAACTTGACCTGCTTCTCCAGAGATAACGTTCAGGTTCCAGAAGCCCCTTCCACACCGGAGGCCAGGCCAGGATGTCCCCAGGAAACAGGAAATTCAAATAAGCAGCTTGGGAGCTAAACTTGATCTCTCTTAAGAAACCAGCCCTTTGAGCCCATCATAGTACCAGAGGTCCTGCCAGTACAGTCCCGCTCAGACCAAAGATTAAACGCAATTGATCTAACTCAGGTGCTGGCTCTGCTGCTTACCAGCATTGAGGTTGTTCTCTCCGTGCCTCAATTACTCGTTCTGCAAAATGGGGACAGTAATGGCATCTATCCATGAGCGAGCTGTGATGATTCAATTATATAATTCAGAAAACTCTAGCACTTGGCGGAGGTCCCGGAAGACACTCAGGGCTTAGTACAGGGCAGCAATGATGGCCTGATTAGGGTCATTTCCGCCAAGCACTCGTGGCTCTGTTGCTAGGAGCTCCCAGAGAAGCGGGACTGCCTCCTCGTCCCTAGTGCTCCCCGAGACCGTACTGATAGCAGGCGCCGGAGTGTTTGTGGATACGGAGAGAGCTGACTCACCGCCCTAGAACCGATGCTGAACCTTCGCTGGTTTGATTCCTTCTTCTTGCAAACCCTCAGATTCTCTTCCCCAGTCGCTGGCAAAACAAGGATGCTGATGGACTGTTTAATATTAACAAAGAATATTGCCCACGTACCAACTCCGCACCAGGGACTGTGCTGGACCGTTCGCCTATGTTACGTCCCGGCCCCACAACAAAGGAGGTTTTAAGACCCCTCTCCCCATTAAACAGAAAAGAAAACTGAGGCTTGGAGAAGTGAAGTCTTTGCCCAAGGTCAGAAAGTGGTGGCATCTGGATTCGAACCCAGGTCTCCCACACTTTCCATCAGGGATGAGGATGAGAGAAAGGCAAGGCAAGCAAGAGAGGCATTCTTACCAGTGACACCGGCCCCCGGAGTGCCCGTGAAGCCAGGTTGCTGGGAGGTGGCATTTATACCTTCCCCAGGAGTGCCGGTGCCAAGATGGGTGACCGCTGCGTCCCCACAGAGAGCGGGCCGAGAATGCTGGATTAAGCCCGCACCAAAGCCCGGGTCAGCAAATGCCCACAGACATTGTGTCTCCACACAATAATGTCATTAGCTTTCAGATTCGGCCGCGCCAGGATGGTCAGGCGGCTGGGCAAGGAGATGC